TAACCTCTCACGTCCAAATTTGAAAAAAAATTGTCAAGCCATTGAGAGCAAAATATGTACTTTAGCAGCATATTTTATATGGGTAAACAGTAATAGCCAGTTAGATACTGCATTTGTGATTTATCCTAAAAATAGAAAATGCTTTTTATTTTCCTGAGTCCTTGGCAAACAAAAAACATTTTTTTTTCTTTTTAATTGTTAAAGTATTCCTGTTTTTCTTTTTCCTGGGGCACCCTCACAGTTCAGATCAGTGTGTCTCACTGTCAGTTTTTACATACAGAGATGAACAAACAGCACTGGGGCCAATTTCCAATTACTGATCACATATGGCGACTGAAAATAAAACACCCATCATCTATAAAGTTGCTCAAGATGAAAGTTTCTTGACAGTGCTATAAATGCAATATCAATTTGAATTGTTGTCCATACAAAAGTATGAATTTCTATTCCATTAGTAATACTGAATGATTAATACCTTAACAGTGATAAAATTTTTAGAACATTTAAAAAATACAGAGGATTCCAGTTTTACATCATACTTCTGACGGATTATCATACTTTCTACTTTGTCTGCAAAACTTTTACAGAGTACAGTGCATTGACATGATAAAACCAAGGCACAAAAATACAGTTACAATAAGTGTATATAAACCCTAGCACTTTGTGCCAATTTTGGAAAGAGAGAGATCATAAAGTCTGAAAAATTATCACATTCTATTTGATTAGTGAACAATTAATTGTGCAGTAAATAGACTGTTAACCACCATTCCATTATTAAATATATGGCTATCACTATACAGGCTGCGGATAATTCAAAAATAGTTTTAAATATTAAAACCTGTAATATCTAGGTGGTCGATGCCAATATTGAGCCTTACTTTATCTAAATAAGTCTCCATTTAATTTGCAATCCATATGGCAGTTAGCAATTTTTAAACTATTTCCATTACATAAATGGTGGGATTTATTCTAAATGTTAAATCCTTTCCCCTTACAAAAGACAGAAGATTTACAAGAAGATAACCAATATAAGAAATGCATAGACAACAATAAGAAAATCCAAATTGGACTCAAAGGTTGAAGTCTAATCTACTGGGACATTCTCTTAATTTAGGGTGAGGAACAACACATTCCTGTGATGATTCATTAGTTTCTTAATTAAAAAAAAATAGCCATGACATTTTTCAAAATAGTAAACAGTCTTCATTAGTGCATCAAGCATTGAAGAAAAATTGTCATTTTTCCATTCGTAAAATGAAGAAGATAAAAGCCTTTCAAAATCCAGGGCGGGGGATTTCCATTGAATTTAGAGAAGTGAAATCAACTGGTAAAAACTGTATTTCATACTTTTAAAGAAAGAGTATTTTCAAGACTCAAGGTAAACATTTAGACCCATTAAACACATTTCTTGGCACATGCACGCCATGGATGGAACAATCCCGAATGCGGCGACGGCCTGGCTACAGAGGTATCCGGCTCCTAGCCCCACTGGCAAAACTGTCTTTTAGGACTTTGTCCCAGCTCCCTTCACATGGGGGTTTCTGGTTTCTGCATCAGCTGGATTTGCTTCTGTAGCTGGTCCCTGTCCAGCTTCATCTTGGCCTCGAGAACTTGCCTGAGGGATCCTATGCTTTCATAGACAGCTGTAAACCCTTGAAGGAGAGGTAAATTTCACAAGAGTTAATATTTTAAAAAAATTCTATATCAAATTCTATATCATCTAGTAATGGTTGATTCAGGCAAAAATTATTAATAGATGCTAAAACCCTTGGGGTAAAAGTTTGATGGGGAACAGGTGAGTTTCTAGTTTCTCCCTAGAGACTACTTTTTAATTTACAAAAAGGAAAAAGTAACTATTACAATGGAGAAGACTGTCACATACCACTTTAACCAAGTGATCAAAGCTCATGTCACCAATACTGGGAGAAACCAACATCATGTAACTCCTGAAAAGATACCCCGAGCAGGGCATGACATCACTTCTTGACATTTTTAAAGAATACCAAATGCACAACCTAAATCATACCAAGATGAAGCAAACAGGCCTAGTACGGTGTCTCATACCAGTAATCCCAACACTTTGGGAGGCCAATGCGGGTGGATCACCTGAGGTCAGGAGTTCAAGACCAGCCTGGCCAACATGGCGACACCTCGTCTCTACTAAAAATACAAAGAGTAGCTGAGTATGGTGGTGCATGCCTGTAGTCCCAGCTACTTAGGAGGCTGAGGCAGGAGAATCGCTTGAACCCAGGAAGCGGAGGTTGCAGTGAGCCAAGATTGTACTACTGCACTCCAGCCTGGGGGACAGAGCAAGACTCCATCTCAAAAAAAAAAAAAAAAAAACGAAGCAAACCAATCTAAACTGAGGAGGGATAGTCTACAAAATGCTGGCTGGCTGGTATTCTTTAAAACTGTCAAGATCACTGAGAAACTGATCCAGAATAACAGAGACTAAATAAAGAAACATGACAACTAAATACGATGCGTAATTCTGGATTAGAACTCGAAGGGCCAACATCACTAATCATAAGGGCAATACAAATTAAAACCACAATGAGTTATTACCTCACACCCGTTAGGATGGCTACTATCAAAAAGGCAAAAGAGTACAAGTGTTGGCGAGGGTGTGAAGAAAGGGGAACACTTGCACACTGCTGGTGGGAATGCAGAATGGGGCAGCCATTGTGGAAAACAGTATAGGGCAGGGGTGTCCAATCTTTCGGCTTTCCTGGACCACACTGGAATAATTGTCTTGGGCAATACAAACACACTAACACTAATGATAGCTGATGAGCTAAACAAACAAAAAAAATCGCAAAAAATTCTCATAATGTTTTAAGAAAGTTTACAAATTTGGGTTGGGCTTCATTCAAAGCCATCCTGGGTCACATGTGGCCTGCAGGATGTGGGTTGGACAAGCTTGGTATAGAAGTTACTAAAGAAATTTAAAATAGAACTACCATACGACCCAGCAATCTCACTACTGGGTATATTCCCAAAGGAAATTAAATTACTACCTCATAAAGATATCTGCACTCCCTTGTTCATTGCACCATTATTTACAATAGCCAAGATATGGAAACAAATGAAGTGTGTCCAAAAAATTAGTGAATAAAGAAGCTGTGTATATATGCATATGATGAATATTATTCATCCCTACAAAAAAAAAAAGAGAGCCTGCCATTTGTCACAAATGGATAAAAATGGAGGACATTATGCTAAGTGAAATAAGACACATACAGAAAGAAAAATACTGCATGATCTCATATGTGGAATCTAAAAAAAGAAAGAGAAGGAAGGAAGGAAGGAAAGAGAAAAAGAAAGGAAGGAAGGAAGGAAGGAGAGAGAGGGAGGAAGGAGAGAAGGAAGGAGATAAGGAAGGAAGGAAGGAAGGAAGGAAGGCAGGCAGGCAGGAAGGCAGGCCGGCCAGCCAAGGTGGGTGGATTACTTGAGGTCAGGAGTTCAAGACCAGCCTGGCCAACACCATGAAACTCCATCTCTACTAAAAATACAAAGATGAGCCAGGCATGGTGGTGCACATCTACAATCCCAGCTATCCACGAGGCTGAGGCATGAGAATCACTTAAACCAGGGAAGAATAGGTCACAGTGAGCCGAGATCGCGCCACTGCACTCCAGCCTGGGTGACAGAGCAGGACTCTGTCTCAAAGAAAAAAAAAAAAAAAAATAGAATAGAGAATAAAATGGTGGTTGCCAAAGGTGGGGAGGAAGAGGAGGAAATAGGGAGATGCAGGTCAAAAGATACAAATTGCTGATATGCAGAATGAACAAAACCAGACATCTAATGTATAGCATGAGGACTACAGTCAATAATACTGTATTGTATTTGGGATTTTTGCTAAAAGAGTACATTTTCGGGTGTTGTTGCCATACACACACACACACACACACACACACACAAATACCTGTGAGACGATACATATGTTAACCTGCTTGAATACGGTAACTATTTCACTATGTATATGTATATCAAAATATAAACATCTTGTTGTATATCTTAAATATATACAATAATTTTTTATTTAAAAAACATGCAATTAGAAAAAAAAGACACTGGACTAGAAAAGGGTTGCTATAAAGGAAACAATGGCACATTGAAAATTGAATATTAAAAAAATTTCATTGATGATACATTGTATTGAAGTTATTTATAAGGGAATATCCTTGTTCTTAGGATATATACACTGAAATAATAAAAGGGCGACCACGCAGTGGCTCACACCTGTAATTCCAGCACTTTGGCAGGTCAAGGCAAGAGGACTGCTTGAGGCCAGGAGTTCCAGACCAGTCTGGGCAACATACTGAGGCCCCATCTCTTAAATAAAATTTTTTTTTAAATAAAAAAATGAGCTGGGTATGGTGGCACATGCCCAAAGTCCTAGCTGCTCAGTAGGTCGAGGCAGAGGGTTCACTTGAGCCCAAGAGGTTGCAGTTAGCTACGATCACACCACTTCACTGCAGCCTAGGCAACAGAGTGAGCCCCTGTCTCATTCTGTCATTTTTTTTTTTAATTTCCAAAAAAATATGGAAATAATAAAGGGTAAAAAAGCATCATGAGGCTAGGCCTGGTGGCTCTTGCCTGTAATCCCAGCACTTCAGCAGGCCGAGGCGGGAGGATCATTTGAGGTTGGGAGTTCAAGACCAGCCTGGCCAACGTGGTGAAACCTAGTCTCTATTAAAAATAGCAAAAAAAA